GAACACAATCATGATGCCATCTTTACTGAGTATTTGTAACGAGGTAGGCGCTACCCAAATTCTTGACATCCAGATCTCCAACAACAACTTTTATAATCAGATCAGTTCATATTCTTTGATGAGCGTTAAGGCTTTGCAAAGACCCTATCAAGAAACTGCCAGCAGCTGCAGCTGCTGAAAATTGGGTGTGACATCCCTTACGTGGGAGACATCTCGCGTCAACAGAGATGATGGAAATCCATTACACCTGATTATGAGTGCCACGTTGGCCTGAAACTGGATGGTCATCTGCTATGCGCAAAACAGGACGGCGGAACAAAGTGGGAGTGTACAAGCAATAGGATCACCGATTTGGTTTGACCCACAGCAAGCCATCCTGAGCGTGGCAGGGCATTACTCGCTCGCCGTTCCGGATACTGGCCATGATGGTGGATGCATGGATGTCGAATGCATATGACTCACGCATTTTCTATAGAATTTCGTCATTCGACACACACAAGAGCGACTGCGTTGCACAATAAGGATTCGGTGGGGCGTGGCGAGTGCGCTCTGGCGACTGCGCTAATGCTGCCTTCAATGTACTTCGCTGCAAAATCGGACTGAGAAGGCACTCAAGTCAGCAAACAACTGAAGGATTATCGAAGTCTAAAATCCTTAGGTGGGATACGTTAAAGAACAACGCTTGGTTTAAACAGTAAAATGACGCCCACGTAAAGAGTGCCGGCGCACTTTTATGCCCACCACACCGCATAGAGTTCGTTTTCTATCCCGCACTGGATATTTCTGGTCAGAGACGGTGAAGCGATGCGAATAGCAAGTACTAGTCGGGTGTTTCGGAGAGCACCTAGTGTGTTGGCAGAGAATAGCACCTGCCACTGCATTACTAGCACTGACTGGTGGGAAGACATGACGCTAACAAAAAGAGTAACCCAAGTACAGGAGGAGTCGCAATCCATGCGGCAAGCGTCCTTGCTACGGCAGCTGCCCCTGATGTCCAGGTCATAGACTGCGATTTTATAATAGATCAGTCAAAAAGCAGTGAGCTCAACAGTTCCAGGAATGTCAGTTGGAAGATACCATCGCAGTAAACTTCGTGCAGCCGAAACACGGGATGCAAGTAAAGCAATCGTTTTACGAAAAAAAGAAAACATCCTTGACTCCGCATGCCAGTGCTTGACCAGAAACAACTGCAGCGCACGCCGTGAGCCGGGGTTTCATGAACGTTCCTGCTGAACCCCGAAATAAAGTCGATGTGAACAGCCACCCCCTCTGCCTGATAAGCACATAAAAACCCCGGCCGCTTGCTGTTGCAGCTCAACTGGGGCATTACCAAGTATAAACGGCATAGATGTATCTTCGAGTTTGCAAGTCCTACTGTGAAACGTGGTTTTGTGCCTGTCATTTGGGTGAGTAAAGATTTGCAAGTGTGGAATCAGATGTTGTGCAGAGAACTGATCCGTCTATTCTGTTCGGTGGTTGACCAACATGAGCCATCGGAAACACTTACCTGACAGGGATTTTGCTAAGGGGCTCAAAATTCCATGCACATGCACCACCTTGCGTCCTTTTGTGTCACCAACACCTCACTGCCTAATAATGCTGTTCCATTCCTTTATCTAGTCTTTATAACCAGATATTTACCTGCGGCTTAATTTCCCCGTCCTAATGCATAGCTCATTATGCTGCAATGGGCAACCAGTACGTCTTCGGCCTGCTAGCAGCTCGTATATTAGAAATTCATCACATCGGCTAATTCATCCTGGACACTTGCCATTCTTGCCTATTGTACTGAATGTTCAGTTGGATCTCCTACTAAGAAACTAGCTACAGAGCCAGTCAGACGAAATGCATGCTCAGAATCGCCTACACTTCCCGCGCTGCCAAGTTGCCTGCATGGAGGCGCTGCCTCTCCTTGTTGTGGTGACACCAATACTCCAATCACCATAGATGAAGTAGGCGTCGTCCAGGAGACAAGGAGGGGCTGATTACTAACGCTTCCTGGCTCACTAACCTCTAAAGCGCGTAGCTGTGGCCGCATAAGTGTCTTTCTATTGGGTCACCCATGGTGTACCTACGATTATGTCAGGTTGCACGGATCCGACGTGGAAGTCAGGAACCATGCTAGGAAAACCCTTTTCCGATTAAAAGTTGTAGTCAACTGCAGAAGCTTTGCCAATCCTTGAGTCCTGCCGCCAGCCCATCAACAACTCCTAGTCTTGGGGACTGTCTAAAGAGTGGATAAGCCGAATACAATTCTGCATCGTTTCGTCGAATAGCCAGCCCAATTCACATGCAGTGCCAACAAGTGCTAACAATTCCTGACCATCAATGTAGACACGATTCACTGCAGAATTGACATCGGTGGGTTACCACTACGGCTCGAGTGTCTGTAGTGTCCCGCACTGCGCTGTAGCCTGCCGGAGAGCTTGCCGTTTCTCTGATACCCCTTGTTTGGTTGACAAAGGGTTTGCTTCTGCTGGGCTTAGTCTCGTGCATCGACCTAACAGCACCATGGGATGAATAGGGTATACGGACAAACCAATTAGACAATTGCCTGCAATTTCTTGGTTAATAAAATCAGTGTAGTAGGCCGTCTTAAATTGTAGCATAGATTGCTACACCTCCCGCAGCCAAACGACACCGAATCCATGACCAACCCAAGAGGGTCCGAAAGCAATAGTGTAGGAGAAACCGGCCACAGATAATATCATTTAGACGCTTCAAAGCACTACCACACGCAACTTAACGTGATTGAGCTTTTCAGCGAGACGCAATATACCACTTCCAGAGTGAAGCGTTGAGGTTCGGCGCTAAAAGCTCAGAGTCCGGCTCTGCCTGTCTCATGTGGGAGTAGACGGACAGGGCTGGAACGGCAAGTACACCGTTGGCCCTAAAAGCTCAGGGGATCACGGCGAAAAGCATTAATGTTTGGCAAGCGGCCTGCACACGATAGGCCTTTGGACTGTATCAAAGATAATACATATTCAGACGTTTAGTCTCAAAATGACTCCTCGTCGTATCTTCAAGGACAGGCTTTTGAGTGTGTACAGTATGGCACATTGCAATATGCAGACATCTGCTGCTTGCAGCTGGAAAAGCACCTGTGTGATGCGGTGCGTACACCTTGCCACGTTAAAGCCTACAATGCATCCGCATCTTTAACTTTAGCCTTGAGTAATTCTGTTTCAAGAAGCGGTGAGGGCTCCTCCTTTTGGTATTTGATCGAAATAGAGTTTACGCAGTGGCGTTCGTTTGTACTTGTGAATCTGCACGCACACGCCCTTAAATGCTCAAATTCATATGAGCGCTAAAATGATGTCACTGCAGGCTGGTCCAAGGTACTTCCACCACCTCACGTTGCGGGTTTATGGATCATTAATAATGTATTGGCTAACCGTTCCCCGAAAAATACATGGCCTAGATGACCACCGCAGGTGTTGCAGATGATTTCCCAGCGCTTCACACCCATGCTCAGGTCCTCAAGGGCTGTTACTTTGCCTGAAAGCACCAGCTCCTAGGGCGATTAAGCGGCCCTGCCCGTTCGATGCGTTTTTGCCACCCAGAAAGGTCTAGTCGAGACGCAGTTTGACAAGGGAAGTAAGCAGCATGCCCAGGGTTAGAATTGAAGGGCTTACCCTTGTAGGCACTATCGAATGCAGGCCATCCGCAGCCAGAATCGAATTTGCTTTTGGCAGGAAAAAGAGGCGTTGCGCACCCTCGGCAAACAAAACAACCAACCGCAGGGTAGAACTTGTTGTACTCTCCTGCACATACACCCCAAAAGTCAAGCTTTCACCCCTAAAACCTGATTCCAGGAAACTACATATGAACATTATCAGCCTGTAGTAGGACACTGTTCCTTAGTCTGGGAGGATTTCCTACTCATCAAAAAATTACCAGTGCCGGCGCGCTCCGTTCCCTTCCCCCTGAGAACTCTGTATTCTTCCTCTAACACACAAGCACGCAAAAACCGCAGCTGTACACATTTGCACAAACTAGGTAGCATCGGACAAAGAGCCTGCTGTAAATACATGAGTTTGAACAGAAGGAATGAAAGGGAAGCAATTAATCAAGGTGTTACGGATACACTTCAGTAGAGTGCATGGACAGGCTTCCACGCTAACCTCTCGCCAAGCGCTAATACCCCATCATGCAGTTTTCCATTTATAGTGCCCTCTAGCCTTTAATGCCACGTTAAGAACGCCTCAGCAAAACACAGTGCTCCAGATGAGTGCTGTAGCTGTAGTTTAGAAGTGCTGCCTATCTCGGCCATGGCAAAGTGTAGAGTACGCGGTTAATAGAGAGCTTGTATGTGCCGTACGTGTCAACAGCCCCCTCCACTCTTCGTCAGTCTTTGGGAGAGACCGGTCAGCAGCCTCCATCGCCATTGCTAAAACGGGGCCTATAGGAAATGGGGAGAGCGATGACGGAAAAAATAGAAAATCATGCTAGGAGAAAATAAGGAGATGAATCGTAAGTGTGTCAACGCACTAAAAATGGGAAATGTGTAAAGGCAAGAGAATCAACAGTATAGCGGAGCAGCTGCATGGCCTTCCGATGCGGAAAGGAAGACGCTGGCTTGCATCGAGGAGCAGCTGCTCGACGATACAGGCAAATGTGCAAATGATATCAATGTGAAGCGTACTATTCCATGCACATGGAGTTAAATGCCTGAAAAATCGAAGCAAGAAATGTGTTCTTGAGTGGAGTACCTCCGTCTGGCTCCAGATGGGTCCGCTTTCGATTCGTTGTGCCAGAGAACACACGGCACAAAGGAGAGGCCAAGGCGCCCAAGGTGAGACGGTGTGGAAGGGAGGAAGAAATGTGTCCCAGATGTGCACATATAAAAGGAAGGAGAAGCATCTGCGTGATGGCGGCGGCTGACGGGTTGCGCTCCCACAGAAATGCCGAAGAAATTCCAGCAGTTGGTCCGTGAGGATGCCAAAGACAAGATAAAATACGAAAACAAAGCGCGAATATCGTGTTTCGGCCAATCAACCGGCGTAACAGGACCAGCCATTGATCATGTGCAGCGAAAATGGTGGGGCTTGTTGCCGTTTTAGTACCTGTGTAGCCTATACATTAGCTGAAATCTTATTAAGGTATACATCTTCCTGGCGTTTCATCTTACCCTTTGCTACCCTGGCAAGCATTTTTGAGGCCATACAGACGGTGATATTGTTGAAGGCCTTCGTTCTTCGACAAGCGCATCCCTGATACGGCGTTCTCGTTATGCATCATGGCAGGTACGCAAAGCAATTGATGTGCCTCTCGCTTACGCGTCTCGGAATGCGCTCGAATCGCCGTGTGCACCTGATTTAATTCGAGAGTTTTTGCATGTGCATCACCAGGAGGCAGCCGTTGCTTACCTTGTGGCTGTATAATTGCAGGCGCTCATCATTTCGATTGTGTTGTCCTGGGCGGCGGTAGTGGGGGAATTGCATTTGCTCGACGAGCAGCCAGTTATGGAGCCAAGGTTGCCCTAGTGGAGTACCGCCGACTCGGTGGGACCTGTGTAAATGTCGGCTGCGTTCCGAAAAAGGTGAGTATTGGAGAATCTGCAGGAGCGTAAGCAGTCGCACCCATTCATAAAGATACGGGATAATTCTAAGTATGAAAACGGTCTTTCATCACGATGTTACTGCTGCCGTGACTTGTCGTTGCGGAATTCCTGTTTTCCATGTGAGTTCTTCGGGCGAATGAACAGATTATGTGGTGTGCGGCCAATGCCTTTGAAAGCCTGCACGGCCTGAAGCATTTGGGCGTAGACTTCAACGAGCCCCCGCGGTTTAATTGGGAGCGCCTCGTGGAGAACAGGGAAAATTACATAAGCCGGCTTAACAAAATTTACGAAACAAACCTTGAAAAGTCACAAGTCCAGCGGTTCTATGGGTGGGCTAGTTTACTCCCAAAAGTAGAAGCTAAAGAGGAGCATGTCATCGTCGTCAATGAGACAAAGCAAGATTCAGAAGCAGGAGTGCCACCCACTAGCCGACTCACCGCGAAGCATGTTCTTGTTGCAACCGGTATATCCTAGAAAGGCTTTGAACCAGAGCTTGTAGGAGAATTCTGTTGCTTCGAGACTCTGCCATTAAGAATTTCCTGCCTTTTGTTTGCTTCTTCGTGGAATGATGGGCATGACCAAGCATGTCGACTTTTCTGGGCCTGCGTGCGTGTCGCCCCAGGCGGTCGTCCGACTCCGCTCTCGATTCCTGGGGCATCCTTGTGTACAGACAGCGACGGATTCTTTGCTCTGAAGTCTCAGCCGAAACGCGTTGGAGTCATTGGAGCTGGTTACATCGCAGTTGAGCTGTGTGGAGTTTTGCAAGGTCTAGGGACAGAAACCCATTTGTTTACGCGCTACGCGAGGGCTCTCAGGAAGTTTGACAAAATGATTCAAAATGAAAACCACAAAAATATGCAACGCATGGGCGTTCAGGTGGGACTAAAAACTACCCTGCGGTTTATAGGCGCCTCATTTCCTCCCGCGCAAGCATTTGTGTACAAACACAAGGCTTATGTAGTGTAGCACTCTTTATTGGGCTTTTCATTGTAATCACTCACTTGTTCTGCGAAACATTCACATAAATGAAGCAAGAAGAGATGCGGATGAGGGTCAAGGAAGTACAGTTTGAGTTATGATCCATATATATATCCGCACCTCTTCGGCGGCAGCCATCTCCTGCTGCTAGTTGCTTTTTAGGCTGAAACACTGGCAGTAGCACGATGCTGCCACACCCCTTAACCTCGGCTTCCCTTATGCGCATTTCGGCTCTTTGGTTACTTGGTGTTTGTTGTTGCAGCTGCACCCAAACAGCACTCCTTGTGCAGTCCGGGGGAGTCCAGGTTCTCTCCACCTAGATCTGGCCGGTGGAGAGTCTCATGGCCCTTTTGACTGCCTGATCAACGCAATTGGACGCACACCTGAAACAGAGCACATGGGTCTTGAGGCATTAGGGGTTGAAATGACTCATGGGAAGTATATCGTATCAGACGAATTCCAGAACACAAATGTGCCGGGCCTCTTTGCTCTAGGAGACTGTTGTGGGAAGGTCAGCAAGAGAATACATTCGTTGGCTGTAGCGCTCAGCTTTCAGGGCTTATGACTAAAGACGTATGTTTGAGGGCTTTCTAGTAGGAGGCTTCGTGGAGCTCGACTGGGAAGTTTGGGCATACAATTCATGTTGGATTCACGGTTAGCGAGCACTGAGTTGCCGGTCTGGTTTGCTTGCACTGTGCTCGCTGCCAGGTGGAGTTAACTCCCATGGCGATTGCCGCTGGTCGTCGGTTGGCTGACCGTCTGTATGGCCAGATGCCGAATGCTAAGGCAGACTACGACTTTGTCCCCTCGGTCGTCTTCGCTCATCCCCCAATCGCCAGTGTGGGCCTTACTGAGGAAGAGGCTATCCAGCAACACGGAGAAGACGATATTCAGGTCCGAGTGCAGTGTAAATCTAAGCAAAATCAAAAGCGCCAAATGCGTGGATATGTCGAGGGAGGCATTTGTGGGAAAGTATAGCCCACTTCTAATGGGGAGGCGCGCAGTTCTGGCTGCTGTCGTTGTTCCTGAATCTGCTACATTCATCACTCGCTCTAGTACTGCTGTGGTTCGTCACAGATATATAATGGCACATGCGTGAATCTTCTCTACGGGCCGTATCCAATTTCTCCCGAGGAAAAGCCAAAGACAGTCATAAAACTTGTTTGCAAAAAGGCACGTATGGAAAGCTCCGTCTCAATAGTCCTCTCTCTCGTGTGGCTGCTTTATCTGCTCTTCTTGTCTCTCCGTCTTTTAGTTTATTTCTCATACATTCAGGCTTGTGTCATTCTTTAGCCATTTCGCGGTAGATCCCCGCATGCCTCCGTTCTTACTTATGCATCCGTGCCTTCCTCTCGCCGCCCGTCTACATATGACCGTCATTTTCGCTCTCGATTGAACCTCTGTTCTTTGCCTGATCTTGTTTTCTTTGTGGTTCGTTGCAGTCAGAGCAAGGACGTATCTTGGGATTACATCTCGTGGGGCTTGGGGCAGACGAGATACTTCAAGGATTTGCCGTTGCCATCAAAATGGTAAATTCCCTGTAACTTTCCTTCCTCCTCACTTTTTGTCTAGATCACTTCGTGCGCCCTGGTCCATCCTTTGCTTATCTCCTGTACCTTTCTGTGTGTCTCTCCATCGCTATATCCGTTTATCAGCTATTCTTTAGCGCTTTCCCTCTTTATTCTCAATTTAGGTCTCTCAGCCTGCTGCTGCGCTTCCCTGCTCTGGCTCAGGGCGCTCGCAAGTGCGATCTGGACCGCTGCGTGGCTATTCACCCGACGGCCGCCGAAGAGATAGTGACACTCCCCCCGTGGGGCCTGTAAAACCTTCCATTTGCATGCTTCGTGTTTGATGAGTCTTCAACGGCTAGCTACTTGGCTTTGTTTTCCACGAGTAAAACAGGTTGGATGCATTCCCGCTTGTCGCAGAATGGCAGACGGTGCTCAACTGCCCCTAAGCCAGGGTCTATTTAGCAACTTTCATTTGCGGCTCGGAGGGCCATCGCTAAACGCATATGCACGACAACGCAGCACTCACATGCGTTGAAGCTTTTGCGAGGCGTTGGTTACGTGAGAAGCGCCCCCTTTTATCATCCAAGTAAAGCAAGCGCTGGTGATTAAGTGTATTGCCGGATGCAGCTGCAGCCCTGCAAAGCCATTAATTACCTTAAGACTTTCTACTTCTCCTGTTATTCGGGTGCTTCTCGATTTGAGACTGCCTTTTATCATTTTCTTCCGGGACCTACTACAGCAGCAGCGCGCTCGCAAACAGCACGCCTCCAGCCTTATTCAGCTGGTGTGAATCTACGCTAAAAAGAGAGCAAAGGAGCTGTGCTGGGATCTACTCCCTATTTGTTGACTCCGTTGACTGTCTCGCAAATCACTGCTTCTCTCCTTCCTTCTGTGTCAGTCAGACCTACCCGCGGATGCTGCTTAACCTGCGTATACTGGGAACAAGGCTGTCAAGGAGCAAATTTTTCCAATGGTGGGTGTGTGAGCGATCCTCTCTATATGTTGCGTAGTAAAGGACACTGCCTGCCTATATCTTATTGCGAGTAGCGTTGGGGCAATAAACTTAATAACGCTGTAAAGTACGTACTGGATATGGAGTTCAGTAAGTCCGTGAGGTACACTATGATGGAGCATCACAGAGTGCAATCCTGAAAGCTCAGTACTAACATTTGACGTAGCAACAGCTAATGCACAGGCTGGTGATCTAGCCTGTTTGGAGGCCATCTGCTCCACTCAAAGGTTCACAACTCCCCGAAACTGAAGCATGCTTGTATCAACAAATTACGACTCTTGTAGAGGGAATTACTTGAATTATTGGATTCGACAGAAAGCGTGCTCGATAAATCATTTAATTTGCGGAAACATTGGAGCCTGAGTCAACCCTCAACGGTCCTACCTACACAGCGCCACACTTGTCATCCTGGCTCCACAGGGGGACACCTGCAGTATATACGTGTGCGCGTGCATTTTCATCGAGCAATACAAACGTGGGCACTCATCTCCGGGTCGTTGATGAGGTGTATCATGCGTCGGGAGATGAGTATTTCTTCATGGAATACGACCATGGAAAAAGACACTTCAAGCAATATCGCGGTTCTAATGCTCCACAAAATGTATGCTCTGGAACGGGCTACAGTGTATCTGTGTGGGCAGCAGGACTGCAAAATGACGAAGTCGCGACAGTGGAAAATCATCATGAGTTGCTGCACGTGCTTGGTGCCCACACGTATCATCCAGCCCACTCTGCCCAATGGGCTAATAAGATCAGCTTAATGGGAACCTCTCTACTGGCAAGGATTCCTAGGATTGTCTACGGAAAACGCATTCAAGCTTCTCATCCAGGTTGCTATGCCTTGTGCTAAAAGAGCGAAATCCGCAAGTCTCTGCAAAGAGCAGCCAGCGGATGGCTCTGCAGAGTGGCTTTAAAGGCGTAGATTTGTGAGGCTGGATCCAAAACCCTTCGAGAACGACCGTGTAGTCCAAACTTTAAGGCTTAAATCCCAGATCCTAGAGCATGTAAACTGAACTCGAGAGCCATAATGACTAAACAACCCTACGTTAAAGACCTGGAGCACTAAAGCAAAACCCCGAGCAAACCAAATTTAAATACCAAACCGCAACATCGTAATCCTCTGAGAGTCAAAGCAAGCGGTTTTTATGCCCTACATCCTAATGCGTCCGTACGCCCAACACGCTTTAAACAATTCGCGTCAAACAGACCCCAGTGCAAATTGAGTTCTTACGCGGTGCTCAATCAGCGAGGCCTCCGCTGTATGGACAACTAAACAATAATGAAAAAGAAAGAGGGGGACAGAATAATAAGCAACGTATAGCAAATGATATAACTCAGCATACATGGCGACGACAGCAAAACCTTAATGTGCACGCTGTGAATTAAGTTTGTTGTATGTAGAGTGTATGCGTGGAAGGTTAGAAATCGTAATATTGGCCTAAATTTGTGGACCACCAGTGTTCAATAATAAAGAATATTGAATAATTATTTATTCGTGGGTGGGTAAGCGTATATATGGATGTGCACGTATGCTACCATATGTACGGAGAGGAACAATATGACGGTGCATCAGTAATATATAATAAATATGCAAAAGGGCATAGGAGTATGGATGGGTGCACGAATGTGTGCATACCTACATAAATGGAGGACAAAATATGTAGGTATACATGGAACTCTGTTAAATGCATATATAACTTAGATGCAAAAACGAGCGCACTGCCAAAATAAGGGCAGAAAAGGCTCATTATGAGCAAGAAAGATACCACAATCAAACACGTACCGACACACACAAACACGTACCGACGCACACAAACACGCAGGCACACAAAAACATACAAGCAAGAAAACAAGCGCACGCATAAGGACATGCACAGAAAGGCAAGGTCAAAGAAAGACAAATGAATCGAAGAAACAAAGACCAAACACATAAAGGCAGACGCACAGAAGAATAACAGAGAGGCAGGAAGCCCCACGAAAATGTAAGATGTATTGAGCGGCGAAGAGGACGAGGTGTTTGGGAAGCTTGGGGACTAGAATGAGGGGGAATATGGGCTTTATGTTATCGAAAAGCGCCCAAATGAATGGAGTGGCGCCAACTGCATTCCACTCCATCAGCTGTTGCTACTGTTGATCTGCCTGCGGTTGCTCTTGCTATCTATCCTTTGAGTGTCCTTTACACTAAACCGCGGGGAGTAAAAAACGGAGTGCGCTGTCTTGCGTCTAAAAAGCAATAGGGTAGTGGCTTTGTTGCTGCGGCGTTTCTCTTCAGCTGTCGTGGATGCTTTGCTGACTTTCTGCTGCTGCTGCTTTTACTGCTGGCAGTAACAGCTGTGGGTTTAGGGTATTTCGTCAACTACTAGTAGTGCTGCTTTAAGCAGCAGCTGCCACAGTTGCTGATGCTCACCCTTTGTAATTTCTGCCGACAGCAGCAGCAGCTACTACTATCAGCTGCTGCTGCTGCTCCTGCTGCCATCACGTGTTGCGGCTGTGCAGCAGGAATCTGCTGAGCTCGGTAAAGGACGGGAGAGGCCCCTGCTGCTGTTGCAGCAAAAACGTGGCTGCGTCAACCGTCCCTCCCCAGTCCCATTGGGATTCTTCTTGGCTACCCTGATGCTGCAGCACTTTCTGATGCTGCTGCAGCTGCTGGAAAAGCAGCATCTGCTGCTGCTGCTGCTGCTGCAGGGAATAACGTCCAGCAGGGGGTTGCTGTTGCAGCGACCAACGGCCTTCTGTGCCTGGTAGCAAATGAGGTCCTGCCTCTGCGGCATGCAACTGCTCCTGCAGCAGCAGTAGCTGCTTCTGCAATGCAGCAGAAGCGTGCTCAGTTGCTGCAGCAGGCTCATGAGTCACTAGGGTTTCAGACGGCGCTAGAGGCTCCCCACCTAGCTTAGCCACGGGAGAAGTCTCGCTGAGTGCATGGGGGATTTTTGCTGTAGGAGAAGCACCTGGCGTCGAACCGGCAACAGCAGAAGTGCTGTGTGGAGGCAAAGGGATGGCATGCAGGCTGCCGAGCGTCTCATCTGTTTGCTGCTGCTGCTGCTGCTGCTCAAAATGTGGAAGAGAATTTGCACCAGACAAGCTGCTGCCGCCTCCTGGTTGTTGCTGCTGCAGAGCGGCGACAAAGACCCCAATGAACTTCTGAAGCACTTCGTGCAGGTCCCATATGTCTTGCTTCTGGTTTGGCCGCTGCTGATGCGGCTGATGACGAGGATCCTGCCGTTGCTGCTCCTGCTGTGATTGACTGTCTTGGTGTTGGTTTTGCTGCTGCTGTTGCTGTTGTCGCTGCTGGAGCGGCTGCTGTGGTTTTTGCTCTTGCTGATTCTCCGTGAGGCTCTCAGGTGCAGCACAAGGGGGCAGGTCCTTCAAAGGCTGTGTGTCTACCGGATGCTGTTGCAGCTGTATCTGTTGCTGCTGCGGGGGCAGCAGCAACAAGTCCGGAGGGGAGCCTCCACTGGCTGTTGTCGCAGTCAGAGCCAGAGACGGCGGGGGTGGTGGGGTAGAATTGCTGCTGTTTCCTCGGTGTTGCTGTTGGTTAGGCTGCTGCTGCTGCTGCGCGAGAGACGCCAGCTGCAGCAAAGTAATGAAGTTCGTATAGACGAGGGAAGTGACGACAGAGGAAAGGCTGACTGTTCGGAGGAGGCCCGGGTTTGCCGCCAGCTCACTTTCTCCACCTGCTAGCTGCAGCTGCTGCTGCTGCTGCTGCTGCTGCTGTTGCTCCGCGTCAATAGAAACCTTACAAGCAGCCAGAGTGCCCTTGCAAGACTCGATAATGCGCTCCCAAAGCAGCGTTTCAGCAAGCCCCTGGGGTGGCTCCTCCTGGTGTTGTTGCTGAAGATCAGGTATAGCCGCAGACAAGGAGGAGCGCGATACAGCGGCAGCAGCGGCAACAAGGCCGATCGCCTGCTGCATATAGAGGAGCAACTCAGGAGGCAGCACGATGCTTGGAGCTGCAGCCCCCGAAGCGACGCCACCGTGCGTCGCAGCTGCAGGATCGTGTGCCTGCTGCTGCTGCTGCTGCTGCGTCACGCGCGCCTGCTGGGCTTCCGCAGCAGCAGCAACAACGCTTTTCTGGAAAGGCATAAGTGCGCTGCACTGGGTACTGGCGGAAGTAAGGAGACCAGCGCAGACAGCCCTTATGGGGTCTAAGGGGCGTCGACGAGCTAGACGCCTCCTCGGCGAAGAGCCATCCGCTGCTGCCTCCGCATCTGCTGCTCCTGCGCGGGTAGCAGGCAGGTTCAGTATCGTGGCAATATCGCTCTCCAGTGAAGCAGGTGCACCTCCTAGAGCCATCAAAAGGGCCCCCCTTAGGGGCCCCCGAGGGGCCCCCTTCCCGTTAAGGGGTAGGGGCCCCGGTAGCCGTAAGAGACCCACCGAACAGCTGGGGCATCCTAAGCCTTCGCACAAGCCACAGGGAGGCGCTGCAGCCTCTGCTGCTGCTGCTGCTCCTGCTCCTGCTGCTGCTGCTGCTGCTGCTGCTGCTGCGGGCTTCGCTTCTTGCCTCTCAGACGGCTGGTCTTGTTGCTGATCTTGCTGCTCCTGGCGCTTCCGCCGGAGAGATCCAACAGCCTGAGCAGCGCAGTCGCTGAGCAGCTCTGCCAGCAAGCCTGCCTCGCTGCTGTTGCCGCAGTGCTCGCCAATGCTGCCTTGCAGAGCCGTCGTGTTGCGTGTGGAAGGGGGATGATAGAGGGATCCTCGCCGCGAGCCTTGGGAGCGCACTTTGGAGAGAGAACCCCTATCATACTTGCTGCTGCTGCTGTTGCTATCGCTAGGGCAGCAGCTGTCGCTGCTGCTGCAGCCTTGCTGCTGCTGCAGCGGCGAAAGCCCGCTGCCGTCGCTAGACACACCCGCCTCGCATTCAGCCCCTGCACGTCCAAACGTCCACAAAACGAAAACTCTCCACATCTTCTGTACGCCACAGCAAAGATCACGATCATTATGTCAAAACTCTGATAGCCCAGCCGCATGCAACGAGGCGAGCCGCCCCTGAATCTACTCTTTGAACGTGCCTAGAGTCTACTGCCCTTGAAGGTCGCTCACAGTCGCGCGTGTAATCCTGCGTGGCAGCTGCCGACTTGTGCTGTGCAAGCAACTGCAACAGCTGCCTGTGCTCCTGCTGTTGCATCAACAACTGCTGCTCTCCCGGATGCAGCAGAAGCTGCCGCTGCCCCTTGACTGCGCCTTGCTGTTCCTTACTACGGTTTTCCGAAGAAGCAGCACAAGGTGAAGCTGCAGCATCCATGCGGCGCCTCTTTCCTGCGCGCTGCTGCTCTGCTGCCGCCTGATCTCCCAGGTGTTGCTGCAACGGTTGGACCTGCTGGAGCTCATGCCTACTGGGCTTCTTGCTGCCGTCTGCTGAGGGATGGCTGGAGGCAGCAGCCCCCTCTCCTGATTCGCCACGAGCACCCCAAGCCGCAGGCAGTCTCCCGTGGAGCTGCAGCAACAACACGGCCGACGCACGAAAAACAGCTGCTTAATCTGAACCCTGACACTCTCCGCCAGACATGTTTAGCCAGATGAAATTCGCTCAACGCAGATCTCCAACCGCAAATTTTAGGCCCTAAAGCGTATCTACAACACTCCACACAGACCCGCCATTCGAAACTCTGAGAAACTGCGTACCTGAATATATCTAATGAAGGAGTGAGCTCTCTCTCTGGCCCTTTCGAATCCGTAGAGCTTTGCGCTAAAAGTTCGCATGCAGCGCTTCGGTCCCACGTAGTACCGCGCTCGCCACTCCTGAAGATCGCAAAGCACAACAACCCTGGAAACACACACCACACTTCCAAGCGCCACAGACCAAGCAGCCCTTTCTATCCCAATGAACGGCCTTCTTGAGAGCCTTTGGACCTATCGGGAAAATCCTGAGCAAATCGGTGAAGCAGCCACACTGCCCTCGAATCCCCCCACGAAACGACGACTCTGCCATCTGCACACCAGACATCTCCAAATTAATGTGCTGCACAGCGGCAGCGCGAAACAAGCGTATTTCAGCAGCATCAACTCAAGCATGACCTGCTTTTCTGCGTGGTATGAAGCATTGTTGTTCCCAGCATGAATACGAGGACTGCTAATGGTCAGCCCTGAGCTGACAGCGTCGGCAGAAGACGCTGGACGAGGCGGTCTGCTGCTCCGTCTTAGCTGCTGCTGCCCCTGCTCTTGTTCCTGCTGCAGCAACGATTGTTGATCGTGAGGAAGACGCTCTAGCCGCACTTGGTCCTGCCGATGAGCCGCATCGGCTGCAGCACCTGACTCGACACGCGGCGTCTGCAGCCCTTCACTGCTGCTCGCGCCTGCTGGCGATCCGGCGTCTCCTGTACCGTGCTGCAGCTGCTGCAGACTTGGAGCTGCTCCCACCCCTAGAAGGCTTCTTCTGGAGAGCAATGGCAGCAGCAACGGGAGCGTCCTAGGCCTAAGGGTTGCACTGGCAGGTGCAACAGCGCCAGCATCTGCTAATGCCTCGGCAGCACCCGTGGACGGCTCGCAAGACGAAGTCGGAGATGCGGGGGCTGCTGCGATACCAGTTTGAGCACAAGCAGCAGTTGACGCTTCAGCCATAGGACCAGCCGTTGCAGTGTCTGCAGGGGGTCCAAGAACTGGCGCTGCAGCAGGCAGCTCGGCTGCAGCTCCTGCTGCAGTTAGGCGGAGAACTGTATCTGCTGCTGCAGCCTTTGGAGGCGGAGCTGCGGCAGACGAGTGAGCTGTAAGAAGGTGCGGAACGTCCGTTGCACCAGCCTTCGCGGCAGCAGCAACCCCCGCTGCCGCGGGGGCGCAACATGAGGCGCTTGCATCTTCCCCAGAAGCGGCACGAGCGACAGCCGCTGCTGCCTGCAGTTGCTCCTGTTTGACGCCTACACGAGGGCAGTTCTTAGAGTCGGCTTTGCCATTGAAGGCTGCCCTCCAGAAGGGAGACTCCAACTCGAGCGGCGCATGCCCCCAGAGATCTGCCCTCGGTCCAACTGCGGCTTTGAACCTCGGCGTAGCCGCCGCCGCTGTTTCTGCTGCCGCTGCAGTGGCTGCTGCTGCGGCGGCAGCAGCAGCAGCAGCCACAACTGCCGAGGATAGCGCGGTTGGGCATCCTCCAAGGGAAGATGGACTTGCTCGCTCCGGCGAAGTCGAAGATCTCGAGGGGGGCAGCCGCCTCCCCTTCAGGCCCCATGCACCGTCCTCCTTGGCATCTACGCCACTCCTCGCTGCTGGCGCGTGCTGGTAACTGGGTGTCTCCACAGCTTCCATAGTGGGAGCTGCTGTTGGCTCCTGCCGAGACGTCGCGCTGTCCCCTTGCGCGAGTTTCGCTTCGTGGCATGGGGAGCAGGCTTCGCTCCGGGAGGCTTCCCCCCTCAGAATGGCTGCGTACTCGCTTATTTGAGTATCCGTTGGAACGAAGCTCTCCAAGGCAACGCGCTGCCTAAACCACAAAGCGAGAGCATGCGCCCCCTCGGAACCGTACAGCTGCAAAACAGACGAACGCGATGCAATGCCAGCGCATGAAGGTGCCCTGTAGGACTGAACACGAGGTAAGACAGCCCAAACTCAAGGAGACATACATGCGATAATAAGTGAGGCCAAGAAAGACTCAAAAGAGCATAAGCGGCATATATATATATATATATATATTCATATATGTACATATATTTATATATGAATATATGTATATATATATATATGGAACAGAAAAATGTGCTGAGATGGCGACACACACAAGAGGGAAAAACCACGTTGCTAGAAGGACTGACTGCAATGAAGAGGGTGATAAATACAACACGACACCGTGAGGTAGTATCAGCCCTTAAACCTTGGTGTGTGGTTCTTGCAGCAGTACCTGGGCTGAAAAAGTCCGATAGTGTAAAGCACCTCCGCATCGATACTTCACCCTCCATTCCTGTGAAAATAAACACCGTTGAAGCACCAGAGCTCGTTCGTGTTTTCGAAACCGGTACATCATCGTGCTGTACGTACAGTGGCTCTTTGATGGTTCGCGCAAACAAAGCTCTCGATGCTTCGGGAGAAGCACTCATAGAACGCCTTACTTGTGTCTGAGGACGGTAGTGCAATGACTTGGGCAGGAGAGTCGGCTTCTTCAAGGAGAAAACAGGCTTAGAACTGCGGCATTCGCCAGGCTGCTGCTGCTCCTGCTGCTCCTCCTCTCGCTGATCTTGCCCCAGCTCTTCCTCCTGATCGGGCTGCTGCTCCCCCTGTTCCAAGCCCTTGCGCTGCGCTTGGTGCTGCTGAACTCCTGGATTAGGCTGCTGCTGCTGGGGAGACTCGGTTGTACCTGCCACTACCGTCGTTTGTGCAGCGACAACGGCAAGGGCAGGCCCTTCCATTTCTAGGCGCCTATCTCTAAAGAGCCGCTCAATGTCTCCTTGAAAGACAGAACTGCTGCTGCTGTTGCTACAGTGCTGCGTCAGCAGCCGCTGCCGCCTCTGCCGCAGCTGCACTTTCTGCACAGCGTGCTCGAGCTCCGTGCGGCGGAGGCGGGCTGGAGCTCTCTGTGACGTGGAACGACGCCTTTGAAGGCAAAATTAGAAGGAGATAATGGCTACAGGACTGGAGAAGGAAGAAGTAAAAAACGGAAACCAGAAAAAGCAGCTCTCTTCTCTGCTGGAAAGACGGGCGCCGCAGCGTGACCTGCAGGGGGATGCCGCTGCCCCCGGAAACGAGTCAGAGAGGCAAATACAGAGTTTGCGGTTGTTTCTGCGTCGATCGCTCACACTCGCGAGAAAAATGCAGCAGAAAGACGTACGCTGCTGCTTTGATACGCGCCCCTCGATGGTCCGCTGCGCGCACCATGAAGAAGAGGGAGCAAATTTGCCATTCAAGCGGCGATAGCCCCTTTTCACATCAAGATAACAAAGTATAAATGAATAAGGTGGCGATGTGGCAAGGAAAGCCATAAAAATTACCGGAAGAATAGGTTCAGCTGCTGTGGGGTCAGTGCGCTGGCGTGCGCTGCTCGACGAGAAACTGTCCCTCAGGGGTAATGCACAGCCCAAACGGTCAGAATTTTCTCCATGATAACACGAACATAATATATTTTGCCTTGTTTGAGATCTTAGTATTAAACGTAAAACTAATCCCCGAGAAAAGCGGAAGAATACAAAAACAGTTTCCAGTACACCCTAACGCCATGCACAGAGCAGCAGCAAACGACACCAGATCAGGTGTGATCACCCTTTACCTTTGGGAGCGTTTCTGCTGTTATTTTCTTATTGCCGCATTCTTTTGATATAAGGCACCTGAATAACCAGCCAGTGTCTATGGCAGTTCCACCCCATTAGGCTCAGCCTAGAGACTGTATGTGCGAGGGTGTGGTAGATGGACTCGGCGAGCGCTTTCTCTGCAACTGAAGGCGACGCACTGCAAAATGCGCTAGAAGTTAATTTTGTTGAGCCATATCACAAAAACAGAGGCAATCTGAGGAGATCTAGCCTTTTAAATGCCATTGATTAGCAGAACTTCTAGCAATTTCCCGGAAACGGGGAGGCACTTCCACAGAAGTTGGCCCAAACTTGTGCCTAGACGTTGACATTTGGTTGCAGCGCTACTAGTTGACGATTGTGGTGCTCAAAATCTCAATCTTGGCGCAGTTGCAGGATTTGCACCACCTCATGCCGGGAATACCACACTGGGGAAGATAGATGCATGTAACATTAGAAAGCTTCAGTTTGAAAATTCCACTTATACTTTTTAGCTCCCCCACAGGGTTTTTCAGTATATAGGCTACAGCTTTTGTTTAGCTACGGGGCGTATGGATTCCTTAGAGACCGCTGGGATGAGGGGCTACATGCACGGCAAGAAAGGGGCTGGCGGTGTGCGGCGTGATGCAGGGCACCTTCTCATGACTCTTCGCACCGACGAACTGTGTGACAACAGTTCTTGCAACGCAAATTTCGAATTCTTCCAATAAAATTATGGCGTCTTAATGACCTAACTTGCGATGACTCTTCTGCGTCCTGTTCACCGTGAAAGAAAGTGACTTGCGACAGCAACCGGGGAGCCTTCGTCTCTTCCAGCGTGCTACTTTGATTTTGTGTCTCCTTGTTCTAGGCTAGAGACGAGGCCATCATCAAAACAAATGCGATGCAACCATAGCCACAAGCAGTTTTACCGTGATTAGCACCAGCGAAACTGAATCAGGCTCAGGGCAGATTCTCTTTCGGCGGAAGGCTCCACAAGGGGTCCTACGTAGGGAGGTGCTTAAATGCGAACTGGATGCTCCTTTCAAAAGCAGTTCCCTCTTTGCCTGTCCACACCCCTTGAAATTTGGAAATGGGGAGGAGGGACAGCTATGAGTGCCCCTTGCTGTACCCCCAAAACAGTCCCAGCATTCACAGCCAGTTAAACAAAGCATCTAGCACACGGGCACATAACATTGCATCTTAGTGCATTGAGCCACCGTTACTCGTAGTCAAGATCTACGAACAACTTTGCCGCGCTAAGTCTTCCCTTTCGCCCCCTTAAATACGAATGCGCTCGCGGTCCGTACCGGTCCGTCGAGACCAACAGCATGCAGGACAGCGGAAGAGTTTTTGCCCTGAAGTCACTATCTAGGGTGGCAGAAACGTGAACAACAGCGTCAGTAGGAAAGGCAAAGTGGGCATTAAGCGATGCAGAGAAGTTGAATAGAAAGAAAACCCAAGCACTAACCAAAAACGCCCAAGGGACTAAGCCACCGCGACAGCGGCGCCACGATGCCTTGCTCTCTTCGGGGGAAGGAAATGTGTCAGCCTCCTGCTGTGAAAAAACAGAACACATCCTGAGTATGCAAAGAATATCCAAGTGAACACTAGCATAGCAGTGGGCCACGCCGTATAGAGCAAGATTTGTGTGCAAATACGGCCAGCCCGTGACGTACAGTCGCTGAAGCCCCAGTACAGGCAAGAGCAATAGTGTGGGAAGTACATACCTAAACTTGCCTTCGCCCGCGGGAAGATCCTTACAAAAATGACTGGCAACATTCCAGGCGCTAGCCATGGATGAGAACAGTCATTTTGCGCAACGCATGCGCTGGAGGACAAGCAACACGAAACGCGAGGAGTAACATCCATAGCAACTACCGGTGCTAGCCAAACAGAGAAGCAAAATCTCCCACCCACGACGAAGCCCACACTCGCTCCTCCCTCAACCAATAAAACTTGCGTTCCCCACCCCATTTCACTAGAAACTAACATTTGATGTGTCCTGGGAGCTTGCAGAGCTCTGAAATCCAGCACTTCTATGGCTCCCTGTGGTTCCTCCACTAACACACGGGTCACGGCCCTACACGGCAAAGTCCACGAACGATTCGGAAATTTTAGAAGCTGTTGTGGGAAGTCAATATTGATTTTTTTGTAGAAAGTCAGTCTTTACAGGAAATCAATACATAGAAAAGACAT